CAGATTGCCCGCACACTATCACAGTCCCACTGTAAGTCACTGATCACCGCCATTACTAGCATAAATTAAAAAAAAAAAAATTCTAGTATATATACCATAGTTTTTGTAGATGCTACAACTTTTTTGTTTTTTTTTTATATACACTTATTGGGATTTTTTTTCTAACCAAAGGCATGTAGCAGAATACATTTTGGCCTAAATTTATGAGGAAATTAGATTTTTAAATTTTTTCATTGGATATGTTTTATAGCAGGAAGTTAAAAATGTTATTTTACATTTCATTTTTTTTCATTTATAAAAAAAATAAACCCAGCAGTGATAAAATACCACCAAAAGAAAGCTCTATTTTGTGAAAAAAATGATAAAAATTTTGTTTGGGTACAGTGCTGCATGATCACGCAATTACCAGTTAAAGTAGAACAGTGCTAAATAGCATGAAGGGGGTAAAACCTTCTGGAGCTCAAATGGTTCAATTCTTTTATTATGTATACAAAATAAAGATGGGAATGCTGGCAGAACATGGTGGTGGAAACAGAATGCAGATGTCTTCCTTCACAAATGTGTTTATTGCTGAAAAAAATGTATAGAGTTGTCTGGTGATTGTGTAGAAAAATAAAATATGTAATTTCAAGAGAAGCATGCCTTTGACTTTTTTTAGCTCATTCATTCTATTCCCTGTGAGTTGCCATACACACAAACATCTTTCCAGTGCACACTTTCTGTTAAAATGAAGGTAAATGCCTATGGGAGGGACACAGGCTTCTTTGATGTCTCATGCCAATTTTGTCAAGACCTGACCCCTTTCCTTCTCCTCTGGTGTCCTTTCTGGCCTGTCTGCTTGCTCCCAAGACTTCACATAGCATAGCCCCCCCTCCTCCTCCATAGAATCCAGCTGCACACTGTGTTTTTTTTGTGCTGCACAGCCATTTTTATCTGGGAACCTCACAGGTCAGAACTGCAGCATAGCAGTCAGCTACACAGTGTGCAGATAGAGGCTGTGTCTGTAAGAGAATGGATCTGAGCTGTGTGTTGTGTGAGAGAGGGAAGAGGGGAGAGGAGCTGTGCTGCCTGTGCTAAGACTGTGTGCAGTATGGGGATGTGAGAAGGAGCTCAATGGGCACAGCACGCATGGTGGATGGTGGGTATAGCTGAAATCTGCGGGGTGCCCACCCTCCCCAACACCTGCCCCTAGATCCAGCCATGTCTACACCACTAGCACACTGCCTGAACTTTACTGTTCAAGTGTCTGCCTGTTCGGTAAGTGCAGCCACATCACCCATTTTTTTTTTTTTTTTTTTTTTTTGTAACCGCCACCTCTAAACCTTCAAACAGAAAATGGACCGTTACTGGGACCTGCATGAAAGATGACGTGCCCCTGCTGGAAAAAATAGAGAGGAAAGAAATATTAGCGGATTCATGACTATAGTATTATTTGTTAATTATTTTTTGCCTATCCCATACTTCTCCATTAAAGAGCATATTGAATTATTTTTTCTGTTTTTTTTTTAAAATATTCCCATCCATTCACCAATAATAGACATTCAACGGATTTTTTGTAGTGAAAAAGGGTATCATTGTATGGTGCAACTCTCCTCCGCTTATCTCTGTAATATGTGACTCCTGTAACTGGGTTAGACGAATATTTTCAGAATATTTGGGAAAAAAAATTATATATATACACACACACACAAGCACACTATATTGCCAAAAGTATTGGGCCAGACCTCTCAGGATCTCAGTGACTCCAAGCGTGGTCCCGTGATAGGTTGCCACCTGTGCATTAAGTCCATCCGTGACATTTCCTGGCTACTAAATATTCCACGGTCAACTGTTAGTGGGATTATAACAAAGTGGAAGCAACTGGGAACAACAGCAACTCAGCCACCAAGTGGTAGGCCACGTCACATGACAGAGCGGGGTCAGTACATGCTGAAGCGCACAGTGCGCAGAAGTTGCCAACTGTCTGCATAGTCAGTAGCTAAAGACCTCCAAACTTGGTGTGGCCTTCAGATTAGCACAACAACAGTGCATAGAGAGCTTCATGGAATTTTTTTCCATGGCCGAACAGCTGCATCCAAGCCTTACATCACCAAGTGCAATGCAAAGTGTTGGATGCCGTGGTGTAAAGCACGCCACCACTGGACTCCAATGGCCGTGTCTGGGTTTTTAGCGGTTGCCAGACTGCATTGTGCCAAGTGTAATGTTTGGTGGAGGGGGGATTATGGTGTGGGGTTATTTTTCAGGGGTTGTGCTTGGCCCCCTAGTTCCAGTGAACTATTTAGGCGTCAGCATACCAAGTTATTTTGGAGAATTTCATGCTCCCAATTTTGTGGGAAGAGTTTGGGGATGGCCCCTTCCTGTTCCAACATAACTGCGCAGCAGTGCACAAAGCAAGGTCCATAAAGACATGGCGGAGCCAGTTTGGGGTGGAGGAACTTGACTGGCCTGCACAGAGTCCTGACCTCAACCCCATAGAACACCTTTGGGATGAATTAGAGACTGGGATGCCATTAAAGTTCATGTGCGTTGAAAGGCAGGCCGACCAATACTTTTGGCAATATAGTGTGTGTGTATATTTTCTATTTTTGTGTGTGTGTGTATATATACGTGTAAAATTATATATTACATTTGGAGAAAGATGGACTGAGCTCCATCAAAACGTTGACAATAAAAAGCCGCAGTTTTGATTTTATCTTTACTGCAAGACCCGTGAGTGCCTCTATACCTGTTGTATATACTGTGTGTATGTATGTGTATATATGTATATATAGATGTACTGTACTGTGTATATATACATATGATATCTATATATACACACACACACGTAGACACAACAGAACATATTTCTGTCTGCCATAACCAAAAACCAGGAAATGTTTACACACAACCATCTTCAGGTCCCATGTCCAGTGGTTTTAATGTGGTGAAGCTTTATGGTCACATGCACTTGTAAGTTTATACCACAAAAAAAAAAAAAGTGTAAATAGAGCTTATTGTGTGGTTTGCTGACCATTAACTTGAGACCCGTGTCTACGATTTTCAGATTTTCATTATTTTTCTAAAAGCTGAATGCTGTGAATATTTAAAAATAAAAAAAAAATACTGTGTGTGTGCATGTGTGTTTTTTATACCTATATATTATATATATATATATATATATATACTGTATATACCTTAGATTGTACACCCCTTGAGGGTTAGGAACTGATGTGAATGTACAATATATATGTAAAGCGCTGCGTAAATTGATGGTGCTATATATAAGTACCTGAAACAAATAAATATATACACATATATATATATATATTTTTTTATGTAAATATCTGTGTGTATATATATATATATATATATATATATATATATATATATACATTTTTTTTTCTCTATACCGTAGGTAGGGTTCACAAGAACATGATATTGCTAAATTTTTTTTCTTCGAGTAAAAATTGAATATATATCTTATGAATATATGAAATGCTATGTATTTTTTTAAATATATATTATATTTTTTTTTACCCATTTTTTGAGTATTTGAACATTGGGGTCTGGTTCTACAAGGGAATAAACCACGTCCCCTGTTCTAATTATCTTTTCTTTTTTTTTTTTGTGAAGATGCAATTTTAGGTAGAATTGGTCAATCAAAAGATGTGATTAAAAGCAAGTAACCCTCCTATAATTGCAAAGTAAACATCATCTCTCTCCGTACAGAAAACCAGAAAGAACACGGGTCTAGGTGACCTTGTCCAAGTTTGTGTGTCACCACCCTACGGCCTTTGATAAACTTTAGTGTTGTAAGTTTCTGTTTTGTTGGGATAAATCCATTGAAATAAATTTCAGATGGAACCGTTTCAGTAACTAAGTTGTCTGCTTTTGGCGATTTTTCTAGGCACATATTTTATCTGGTCTATAAAAAAAAAAAGCCATGAACGTCCAAACTGAAGTATGATTTACAAACTCTACTGATTGCCATATATATTTCTGCCAAATCTACTTAAAAAAAATAAATAAATTGCAGCTGTTATTTTATTCTAGCCTATTTTGAATTTTAACAATAAAAAAACAAAAATGGATCTACTTAAACAATGATGCATTCGAATGGAGATAAAAAAAATAAAATCTCCGACTCTTGACATGACCCTATATTTTTTAAATTTTCTTTTAATTTAATTAACTTTTTTTTTTTTTGGAGATATGAGGGATTGCATCCTTAATGATTTTAAAATTAAAATCTGAGGCTGACAGAGCTGGGAAGATTGTACGGCGCAATAGGAGTTGCAATAGGGTGTTCTTGGGGCTCGTGTCCAAGTTTGAAAAAGTTGCATGGTTTGAGTGCCACCTGACGGTACAAGCGCCAAACAAAATATTATGTCCAAGCAAAAAAAAAAAAAAAAAATCACAAAATAAAAATAAATTTTTAAAAGAAAATCCATTTTTGGAAAAATATGTAACATTTTGCCTTGATTTGCTTTTGCCAAATGTATGTGAATTTCTGCGTGAAACCCATTCACCCAAGTATCGTCACTGTTAACCACTAGCCTACAGGACACTTATACCCCCTTCCTGCCCAGGCCAATTTCCAGCTTTCAGTGCTGTCACACTTTGAATGACAATTGCGCGGTCATGCAACACTGTACCCATATGACATTTTTATAATTTATTTGTGACAGAGCTTTATTTTGGTGGTATTTAATCACCTCTGGGTTTTTTGTTTTTTTCTTCAACAAACCAAAAACCACAGAAAATTTTGAAAAAAAAAAAAAAGTTTTTTACTTAGTTTTTGTTATAAAATTTTGTGATTTTTCTCCTTCACTGATGTGCGTCAATGAGGCTGTAGTGATGGGCACTGATAGGCTGCACTGATGGACACTGATAGGTGGCACTGATGTGGAGGCACTGATGAGCATTGACAGGCATCACTGATGGGCACTGATAGGCTGCACTCATATATGGCACTGATAGGCAGCACTGACTGGCACTGTTAGGCGGCACTGATAGGCAACACTGACGTGCACTGATAGGTGGCACTGATGGGTGACACAGAAAGGCAGCTCAGATGGGCACTGATATGTGGCATTGATGTGCACTGGTAGGCACTGAAATGTGGCACTGATGGGCACTGGCAGGTGGCATGGATGAGCACTGATAGCTGGCACTGATGGGCACTGGCAGGTGGCATGGATGAGCACTGATAGCTGGCACTGATGGGCACTGGCAGGTGGCATGGATGAGCACTGATGGACACTGACAGGTGGCACTGCTGGGGCTACACTGATCATCAGGGCACACTGATCATCAGTGCTCTGATAATCAGTGTAGATGTCCCCTCCGAGGAATGCCGATTACCGGCTCTCCTCTCCTCTGTCAGCGTGACAGCTCGAGAGGAGAGAAATGCCGATAATCGGCATTTCCCTGTTTACATGTGATCAGCTGTGATTGGACACAGCTGATCACATGACCGAGCCGACATCTTCGGCTCTTTCTGTGGATCGGTGATCCGCTGTGTCCGAGGGACACAGCGCACCATCGATCGCCACACTGCGCGTTGAGGATGGGAGGACGTCATATGATGTCCTCCCAGAACGAGAGAACCACCTTGCGCCCATCATTGTACTATAGGGCGGGCGGCAGGGGGTTAATGATCCTCAACATGCACAAGTGCTGAATGGTTTTGACATTTTCAGGGGTTGAGCTGGTTGAAGGTCTTCCTGATCCCTTGTTGTCTTCCAGCGACGTTCTCTCGCTCTTGAAGCGCACGTGCCACTCAAAACATCCCGAACGACTCACTGCAGCATCGCCATAAACTTGCTGAATCATGTCAAATGCCTCTGTGGCAGATTTGCTGGGTTTCACGCAGAATTTCACGTTCGCTCTTTGTTCTTACTTGCTGTCCATGATGAAAGCAGACGTGATAACGCATGTCAGAATAGCACCAGTTGCACAGGTCCCCATGTACACAGGATGATGTCTTTTTGACTCACTGACTTATGAAGGCCGGTGCTCCCTGTGACTGTGTGTGCAGTCTTGTGCATGTTACAAAACTAGTCTCAAAACTTTTTGATACCACCTTGTATATATAAATATATATATATTGGGGACAGCACAGTGGCTAAATGGTTAGCACATCCACCTGGCAGCACCAGGGCTGTCGGTTCAATACCAACCACAGCACCACCTGCCTGGAGTTTGCATGTTCTCCCTGTGCCTGCGTGGGTTTCCACCAGGTACTCTGGTTTCCTCCCACACTTCATAGATATGCTGGTAGGTTAATTGGCTCCTGTGTAAATTGGCCCTAATATGTGTATGTATGAATGTGAGTTAGGGACCTTAGATTGTACACCCCTTGAGGGTTAGGGACTGATGTGAATGTACAATACATATGGAAAGCGCTGTGTAACATAGATGGCGCTATATAAGTACATGTAATAAATAAAATAAATTATTATTAGGCTTTCAATTTTTTTTACACATATACAGGCACTTCAATGATGGCCTTTTTCAGGGATCCTAATGATAACAGCAGACCATGCCTGTGAAATAATTGTGGAAAATGGCCTTCACTGGAAGTCTCTCTGGGTGACACCAGAAAAGTGTAACTGGAGACGAAGGCAAAACGTTGTCACCCTACAACAGGAAGTGTCTGTTCAGGGACCTTCATGGCAGGATCACCAGTGATTCTTTAACTGAAAGCTTATTAAAAATAATTATTTAAAAAATAATAATAAAATATTTTAAAATAAATAATACAGAAAATTACTTTTAAAATGACAGTAACATGTTGCAGTGCATATAAGAATTTTTGTGATTGGGAAGACTAAAACAAAACGTTGTCACCCTACAACAGGAAGTGTCTGAAAGGGGGCCTTCATGGCAGTACCACCGGTGATTCTTTTATTGAAAGCTTATTAAAAATAATTATTTAAAAAATAATATATTTTAAAATAATACAGAAAATTACTTTTAAAATGACAGTAACATGTTGGAGTGCGTATAAGAATTTCTGTGATTGGGAAGACGAAGACAAAACATTGTCACCCTACAACAGGAAGTGTCTGAACATGGACCTTCATGGCAGGATCACCGATGATTCTTTTACTGAAAGCTTATTAAAAATAATTATTTAAAAAATTATATAAATATTTTAAAATAAATAATACAGAAAATTACTTTTAAAATGACAGTAACATGTTGGAGTGCGTATAAGAATTTCTGTGATTGGGAAGACGAAGACAAAACGTTGTCACCCTACAACAGGAAGTGTCTGAACAGGGACCTTCATGACAGGATCACCGGTGATTCTTTTACTGAAAGCTTATTAAAAATAATTATTTTAAAAAAAAATAATATAAATATTTAAAAAAAATTAATAATACAGAAAATTACTTTTTAAAATTACAGTGCGTATAAGAATTTTTGTGATTGGGTTTACATCTACTTTAGTACAATACCAAGAAATTCGATACAATCCCCGTAAAATATTACACTTCAATTTTTTAACTAGTTAGAACAGCTACCATTACATATTAGGGTTGGTAAATGTTCCAAGGAATTTCCAATCTGGATGAATTGACACCAGAAGGGTTAAGAACTTAACCTAGTGAGCTCTCCCCCCTCCCAAGTTACTTTGTATTTCCTTGAAAAAAGCAAATTCACACAATACTCTGGGGGGCAATTTTGGAAATTGCAGCAAAAATAAAAATTGCTCAGTAACCGACATTAACCAATTAGGTCTTTCCTTTCATTTTTTAATGATACTTAAATAGTAAATCTGACTGGTGGCCCTTTATCTTCTATATCGCTTCTCCTGGTTGTCCCCGAAAAAAATGACTTTGAAGACTTTCTGGTTGAACGTGATTAATGACTATGAGAAGCTAGAACCCTATAGATCAGAGGCCTCCGGACTACGGCCCCTGGGCCACATCCGGCCCGCTGTAAGATTTTATCCAGCCTGCAGCTAGAGTCAGCGGTGTCCTTAATGTGCACACACAGAGGAATAATGTCAGCAAAGGCTGCCTATGGTCTCTGCTTCAACCCCTCTCCCTATATGATGGGGGACCTTAATAAAAAGGGGGACTCTGATAAAGAGTCAAAATGTAGGAGAGGGCTCTGATGGGGACCCTGATGTAAGGGGGACCCTAATGTAAGGACTCCAATGGGGACCATGATGTAAGGGGGGATGCTGATGCAAGGGAGACTCTGATGTAAGGGTTGACTCTGTTGGGGACCATATTGTAAGGGGGGATTCTAATAGGGACACTGATGTAAGGGGGGGGGGGGGAGCCTGGTTGGGGACCCTGATGTATAGTGGACTTTAATAGGGCTCTGATGTAAGGGGTGATTCTGTTGGGGACCCTGATGTAAGGGCGGACTCTGATGTAAGGTGGACTTTACCAGGGACCCTGACATAAAGGAGACTCTGATTGGGACCCTGATGTAAGGGGTGACTCTGTTGGGGACCCTGATGTAAGAGGCGATTCTAATAGGGACCCTGGTGTAAGGGGAGGGCTTGGATATAAGGGGGGCTTTTTTGGGGACCCTGATGTAGAGACTTTAATAGGGACTTTGATGTAAGGAGGGATTCTGTTGGGGACTTTGATGTAAGAGGTACTCTAATAGGGACCCTGATGTAAGGGCGGACTCTGATGTACGGTGGACTTTACCAGGGACCCTGATGTAAGGGGTGACTCTGTTGGGGACCCTGATGTAAGGGGCGATTCTAATAGGGACCTGATGTAAGGGGAGGGCTTGGATATAAGGGGAGACTTTTTTGGGGACCCTGATGTAGGGACTTTAATAGGGAATCTGATGTAACGGGTGATTCTAATAGAGACCCTGCTGTAAGGGGAGGGCTTGGATGTAAGGGGGGACTCTTTTGGGGATCCTGATGTAGGGACTTTTATAGGGACTCTGATGTAAGGGGGAACTCTGTTAGGGACCCATATGTAAGGGGGGATTTTAATAGGGGTCGTGATGTAATGGGAGGGCTCGGATGTAAGGGGGGGGGGGGGGGGGGGGACCCTGATGTAGGAACTTTAATAGAGGCACTGATGTATAGTGGACTTTAATAAAGACTCTGATGTAAGGTGGACTCTAATAGGGACCCTGATGTAAGGGCGGACTCTGATGTAAGGTGGACTTTACCAGGGACCCTGACATAAAGGAGAATCTGATTGGGATCCTGATGTAAGGGGTGACTCTGTTGAGGACCCTGATGTAAGGGGCGATTCTAATAGGGACCCTGATGTAAGGGGGGGCTTGGATATAAGGGGAGACTTTTTTGGGGACCCTGATGTAGGGATTTTAATAGGGACTCTGATGTAACGGGTGATTCTAATAGGGACCATGATGTAAGGGGAGGGCTCGGATGTAAGGGGGGACTCTTTTGGGGACCCTCATGTAGGGACTTTTATAGGGACTCTGATGTAAGGGGGAACTCTGTTGGGGACCCAGATGTAAGGGGGGATTTTAATAGGGGCCGTGATGTAATGGGAGGGCTCGGATGTAAGGGGGGGGACCCCGATGTAGTAACTTTAATAGGGGCACTGATGTATAGTGGACTTTATTAGGGACTCTGATGTAAGGTGGACTTTATTAGGGACTCTGTTGAATTGAAACATTCATTTAAAAGAAAAGACAACTGTGTATGATACACATTTATTTAAAAAAAATTAAATTTATTTAAAACAAAAAAGGCAGTTGTCTCTGCCACGCGTTTCATGTACTTTAGTACATTATTTATCATGTGTTTGCAGACTACTGTCCTTTTCTGTGCAGGGAAGTCTGTGTTACAGGACAGGTACACTCCTCTGGCACTCTCTACCACTGAGCAGTCTTGGCCGGCTCTCAAGTATCAGAGCTGCAATTACAAGACACGTGGCTTAGGTTACATGTAAAAACGGGTTCAAAAGCACATGGTAAGAGCAGCCCAGGGGCAAATCTACAATCAGGACCATGAAGTCCTTCAGGCCTCAAGCCCGTCTCTAGATTTGTATTCCTTTATGTCATTTATTAAGTAAAATAATATATTTGTGTATTATTAAGTATTTATTATTATAAAAAAAAGTATTACTTCATTATTATTTATTAAACTATTTATTTTTATTACTATAATTACTAAGGTCTATGGCCGGGAATGTGGTGTGGAGGCCTATGACGTGGAGAAGGGCAGACTCTGCAGACAGTTGGTGACTTCTGCGCACTTCAGCATGCGCTGACCCCGCTCTGTCATGTTACGTGGCCTACCACTTGGTGGCTGGGTTGCTGTTGTTCCCAGTTGCTTCCACTTTGTTATAATACCACTAACAGTTGACCATGGAATATTTAGTAGCCAGGAAATGTCACGGATGGACTTATTGCACAGGTGGCAAAAAAGAAAAAAAATTCCATGCATAGTCGGGAGAGAGTCCAGGGCTTCCCATGCAGGCTACAAGAGGGTGTTCCAGCACACATCAAGCAGGCAGAAGAATTTTCAATTTGCAAAGTAAACATTTGGCTTTGCTTGGTGAGTCAGGCCAACC